ATCCACGCTAGTTTGTTTTCAATAATGTTCATAGGACAGTTGTACAACAAGTTATCCACAACAAACTAGCTTCAATAATGTTCATAGGACAGTTGTACAACAAGTTATCTACAACAAACTAGCTTCAACAATGTTCATAGGACACCAATTTCTGAAAGAAAGAAAATCCCCATTTTACATTTAAATTCTGTTGTTTCACAAATTACATTTTAAGGAAAGAAACAGATGAATGAAGTAAGTATGTCCACTTTTTGTTCAGAAGTGTATCAACAGCTTCAGTTACTATTCATCAACATCTATTCGAATCTTGTACACACTTAAGATGTGTTATCTAACTAGTGAACAACACCTGTCATCACAAGATTGGTTCATCTTATTGGTATGTGTTATTTTGTTAAGATCACGACTTAGTATCTTAATCCCATGACAAACTATAGACTAATATTTTATTTTCTTATACTACAACACCTGAACTATACAAACGTCACTACACATATTAAGCTACAATACATCAAAAACTTGTTGTTATGTCTACATGCACAATTTAGGGATTTAGTAAAAAATTTGGTACATCTTGTCTGAACAACAAAGTTACATTTCTGATACTCAGTATCAAGTGGTTTTGTACTTGGTACATCTTGTGTGAACAACAAAGTTACATTCCTGATACTCAGTATCAAGTGGTTTTGTACTTGGTACATCTTGTGTGAACAACAAAGTTACATTCCTGATACTCAGTATCAAGTGGTTTTGTACTTGGTACATCTTGTGTGAACAACAAAGTTACATTCCTGATACTCAGTATCAAGTGGTTTTGTACTTGGTACATCTTGTGTGAACAACAAAGTTACATTCCTGATACTCAGTATCAAGTGGTTTTGAACTGTGCACCACCATATCTTTCACAGTACAAAACTAAAAATTATAGCATCAAATTTTACATTTCTTCCATTCAAAGAAAATAAATAAGTTCTTTGTTGAAAATACGGGCTGTCGATATCAGATAACGGTTCAGGGAAAACAAGCTATTACTATGAGAAGATTGAAGACTTCACCACACATAAGTACTTTTACAGCCGTGAGATATGTTTGGGTAAAAGTAAAACAGTTTAAAGAAACAAGAAAATCTGTGCTCATATAAACTACATATAAGATGAGCCGCTAAGTTATGTCTAACAATGCAGTTTATGTTGTTATTGTTGTTTTAATATGATTTTATGTCAGAACTGAAATAAGCACACTCGGGTTATATCACAAGATGTGATTATATTCTACACATTAAGAGAGTCAAAATTTTCCCCTGTTTACAAGAACAATATCAAACCTTCTGTGTTTACATTATACAATCATACTATTTAACAATAACGGAACAAAAAATATAACTTCATTATCCACCAAATTATTTATGGTTAGAGCTAAATTAACTTCTGATTTATTGTACTGAAATGAAAATGCAGTTAACATTTAAGGAAAGAAACATAAAAGATGTACACTGTCCAGAGGTTCACTGACATTTAGTTAAAGCAGTCACAAGTAATGCCATCATATAAAGAGAGAGAGAGAGAAAATCAACATAACCACAAGTTCCCTGGGCAGAAAGTGTAATCTTGATAACTTCTTAAAGACTAAGTTTGTATAGGAAAAATCATGAGCTTAGAGAATCATATGGACCACTTCATAAAATAACATTCTTACATCAAAACTGTTGGGCTTAAAGCGTGGACCACTTTTTAAAATAAGAATGTTCTTAAAACAAAAACTCCTAGGCTTAAAGTGTGGTCTGGACCACTTCTTATAGTCAGAAGTTATTTCTTACAAACTCTTGCACAGAGACTGTCAATGATAAAGTTAGTCCTTATGGCACACGAAAAAGGAAAAGTTTTCATCAGTACTCAAGTTAACATATTAGTATAATAATATATTGAACAAAGATGTTTCATCTGGTTCATAGCTCTAGTTATCGACTAATTACTACTATTGAACAAAGACGTTTCATCTGGTTCATAGCTCTAGTTATCAACTAATTACTACTATTGAACAAAGATGTTTCATCTGGTTCATAGCTCTAGTTATCAACTAATTACTACTATAGGAAGAATCTGTTACATTCTTTTTAAATAACATTTAACCCAATTAATTTGAGAGGTATGGTCCATAACACTAGCTTATACATGCTTCAAGTTAGCATCACAGTTCAATTAATTTAAATACACTCTACACAAACTAAGGAGATTAGCCCAATTTTTCTACCTACCTTAGTTTGCGAAAACTACGCTTAGTTCTGCCAAAATGGATTCTTCCCGGCGGTGGAGGTGCAAGGGTCATTTAATACCTACAACTAAAGAAAAGGTTGTACTTCAGATACTTTAATACCTACAACTAAAGAAAAGGTTGTACTTCAGATACTTTAATATTTATTGTTGCCAGTTATTTTGGTGCACAAAACATTTGTTACAAACATGTACGTGGATATGTAAAAATATATAAAACATACAGAACATTACAACAGCTTTATTATTATATACAAATATTACTTATTTACATCAAATACTACTGGCTGTTTTATATTAATCAAGTAAAAATACTGACATTACTTTTCTCTGATACTACTGGCTGTTTTATATTAATCAAATAAAAATACTGACATTACTTTTCTCTGATACTACTGGCTGTTTTATATTAATCAAATAAACATACTGACATTACTTTTCTCTGATACTACTGGCTGTTTTATATTAATCAAATAAACATACTGACATTACTTTTCTCTGATACTACTGGCTGTTTTATATTAATTTCTTACAAAAATGGATGGAGTTTAGCCCTTCTAGATCTGTGCCTACTTATACAGCATTAAATATAGTTGGAAACAAAGGAGGACCACTCTCCCTCGGACCACTCCCCCAAGTCTACACCTGAATATACAGCACAGAATATATTTGGAAGCAAAGGAGGACCACTCCCCAAGTCTACACCTGAACATACAGCATTAAATATAGTTGGAAGCAAAGGAGTATCAACCCCCTTGGACCACTCCCCAAGTCTACACCTGAACATACAGCATTAAATATAGTTGGAAGCAAAGGAGGACCACTCCCCATGTCTACACCTGAACATACAGCATTAAATATAGTTGGAAGCAAAGGAGGACCACTCCCCAAGCCTACACCTGCACATACAGCATTTGCTCTAGAAAAATCATATTTCCAGTTATTAAAAGGTACCTTAATGAATGATCAATACAAAACAAAAATTAACTGGAAATTTGAAATGGTGTATTTAAGTGTTTTATAGGTATTTTAAGAACTTGTAGCATTCCCCCACAATTTAACTCTTCGTGTTGTTAGCCGACACTGGGCAGCTGTAGTACATAAATGAATAGAATTGTTTAAACATTTGTTTAACAACAAGTAAAAGCTTGGAATGGTCTATTCTTTCATTGGGGGTGTGTCTGTGAGCCAGACTAGTTTTGGAGAATTCCGCTCCTCATCAGTGACTCTGGACACTACCACCAATGAAATATCAGACCAAACCAAGCCTTTATAGTATCGAAAATCAAAATGGTGTATTTAAGTGCTTTACTGGAAATTATCTTGTAGAATCAATTTGTAATATTTCTAAAACAAAAACTGAAAAAAGCATGTGTCCACAAGAAGATCACCAGATCTGTATGGCAAGTACTAACATTACATATTTGTGTTGTCTATCCAAAGAGATAAAATACAGTAATCACTGTGACAGGAAATTCAACTTCAACAGAGCATATTTTATATACCTGACTAACTAGATAAGAGAACAAGCAGTGCTGATAAAGATTGAAATGCAAGCTTGGACATACACATAATGTACTATGTCATCCAAGTGTTTACCATACACACCTTGTTTATTATAAATACAAGTAACATAAACACCATATACTAGCAACACAGAAAAAACTTACTGTTATCAGTGTCAGATGTTTTTCTTTTTGGCTTCAGGTCTCTGTTGACAATAGGGGGCGTGAAAGATGAGGCACTAGGGGAAATGGTAGGACTAGTTGGTATGTTAGCATACATACCAAGTGATGAGGGAGAAGCCGGACATCTGGACTCTCTTGACATCTCAGTGTACAGTTCTGGTTTTTTGGTGTCCATACTAAGATATCCATCACAAGGTACCAGACTAGGTCTGTATTCATAGTTAAACACAGTCTCCTTTCCATTAAACAGTCCTGGAGGAGCATTTGTGTAAGCGTGGCGACGAGGTCTGCGCAGACTGGAGTTTATTAATGGTGGAGGTGGCACGGGAGCATTTAAACTGTCTTCACTGCGCATCTTGGGAAAGTCATACATGTCATCTAAGTGAGTTTCTGTATTCATAGTTTCCTGGTTTTTTGTAATATTCTGGGAGGGAGGGGGTACTTTGATAGAAGGTGGAATGTCTTCATTAACAGGATGTTCTGATTTTAGTGGTACAGGCACTTGAGAAGGGTAAGTTGTGCTTGAAATAACCCCTTTTACAGCAGATGGAGGTACGTCATAGAGGTTGGAACATAATGGAGTTAACTCTACATTTTCATACCTTTGTTTCTCCCTCAAGCTGGGAGGTTTCGGGGGTCTTGGGGGAGGTTTGCTTGGTGTAGCTTCAGCAAGATCTGATAAGTCTGGCTGGCAAGAAGTCTGAAATGCTGGATCATCCATAGCCGACTGTTTAAATGCTAGATCATCCACAGCTAACTGTTTGAGTTGCTCTGCTAGCTCTTGAGCTTCTCTTCTAACTAATTCAACCTGAACAGATGTATTATGCACAACAGGTATATTATCATATGTAAAAATCTCACTGTTGTTTTGAGAAACTACAGCACCTTCTGGTGGGTTATCTGAAGTTTCTCTGGGGTATGTACTCCAATTCACCTGAGGAGGTGTTGACCACATATCTTCGTACTGTTCAACAGCTTCTGTCTTGCGTGCTGAAGGAGGAACTTTGTACATTTCTTCAAATGTAGGGTCTGGCGAAGTTCTATTACCAACCTTCTCTGTGAGGGGGTTCAGAGATCTAGGGATATCATAGAATTCCCCTGATATCATTCTCTGCTCACGAGATACCACTTTTGGAGGAGGTGGTGGTATGTCCCCGGGAAAAGGTTCACAAGTCATTCCAGGATATTTTGGAGAGCCATTCAAAATTGGCTTTCCACTAATGCATTCACTGATTGGAATGTATGGGTTTGCATCATCCTCCCGTGAAGAGTTCATACTTGGAGTAGAAGATGCAGACACTGCAGTTGGTTGAGAACTTGTTACACCATATTCTTGTCCATTCTGAGAAGGCTGAGTTTCTGATGGAGGTTGAAAGTCTGAAGAGATACATAAAAGTCCATGCTTACCATTTAAGAAACAATCATTGTTTTGATATTTTAAGCATTTCAATTATGTCATTTCATTTTCCAAATAAATAAGATTTTTTTGAAAATGTCAGAGAAACTTATGAAAATTCTATAGTCACTTCAAAATACTACTTCTGCCACTACTGTATTATATCACCTATTGAAGCAACATAAGAAGTTGAAAATATTAAATACCTAAAGAGTAGTTGTTACCTAAATTATTACACAAAGTTAGACCAACCCACAATCTTAGTAGTCTTCACCTGAAAGTCTAAACACCAAATTAAACAACCCTCAAGCCTAGTAGTCTCTACGTGAAAGCCTAAACACCAAATTAAACCATCATCAAGCTTAGTAGTCTCTACATGAAAGCCTAAACACCAAATTAAGAAACCATCAAGCCTAGTGGTCTCTACATGAAATCCTAAACACCAAATTAAGAAACCCTCAAGCTTAGTAGTCTCTACGTGAAAGTCTAAACACCAAATTAAGCAACCCTCAAGCTTAGTAGTCTCTACATGAAAGTCTAAACACCAAATTAAGCAACCCTCAAGCTTAGTAGTCTCTACATGAAAGCCTAAACACCAAATTAAAAAACCATTAAGCTTAGTAGTCTCTACGTGAAAGTCTAAACACCAAATTAAGAAACCCTCAAGCCTAGTGGTCTCTACATGAAATCCTAAACACCAAATTAAGAAACCATCAAGCGTAGTGGTCTCTACATGAAATCCTAAACACCAAATTAAACAACACTCAAGCTTAGTAGTCTCTACATGAAAGCCTAAACACCAAATTAAACAACCCTCAAGCCTAGTGGTCTCTACATGAAATCCTAAACACCAAATTAAACAACCCTCAAGCTTAGTAGTCTCTACGTGAAAGCCTAAACACCAAATTAAACAACACTCAAGCTTAGTAGTCTCTACATGAAAGTCTAAACACCAAACTAAACAACCCTCAAGCCTAGTGGTCTCTACATGAAATCCTAAACACCAAATTAAACAACCCTCAAGCTTAGTAGTCTTTACGTGAAAGCCTAAACACCAAATTAAACAACCCTCAAGCTTAGTAGTCTCTACGTGAAAGCCTAAACACCAAATTAAACAACACTCAAGCTTAGTAGTCTCTACATGAAAGCCTAAACACCAAATTGAGCAACCCTCAAGCCTAGTGGTCTCTACATGAAATCCTATGTCTGTATATACAAAGTTAAATAGTCCAAAAAAATTAAATGATGGAACTTCCAGAATTTGTATGGTATACAAAATTAAACTCAAATTTATTAATAAAACTGTTAAAATAAATACTAATTCACTACATTTCATCTTTTTTCCTAACAAATCTTGATAACCTGCCAATGTTCACAAAAATAAAAACTTAAACTAGTCACTTCTCTGTGTGTGTTCAATTGTATAATTTCAGTGTGCATATAAAAAACTAATATACAAAATCTTATTGAATTTGGTAAAGTGGAAAAATACTTCTAAAATATAAGTTATAATACTAAGTCCAAATACATGTAAGTTTATCATAGCATTTTTGGCAATCAATGGAGTAACTGGTTAAACAGTTTTTATAAGAAATTACAATGAAATGTGTACTGTGGTCAAATGTCAGATAAAATTTTCTCATGAAATTTAACACAGGGTAGCACTATGGTTATATAAAGTATGCAATATGCCACCCCTACCCTCTACCCCTGGATAGACACACAACAACAACAACGTACTGACATTAAAAAGCTCATTTGTTTTTTTTAACTAAGACTGCTAGAGAAGGTAAGGCTTAGAAACACCAGGAACCAATTTTAATACAAAAAAACAAAACAACCTGACACTTTAGAAATGTACCGATCTTTTAATTACTGAAATAGTAAACAATGTTTGAGAACGACCTGCTGTTTAAACAGGGAGTAAGTAAACTGTTCTGTTTAATGAATCATTTCCTGCAAGTGGTGTTTTTCTAGTATATTAGTATTACTTCCTACTTGGAAACTGAAGGACCTTTTCAATTGAAACAGTTACATTGTACATTATATTTCATCTGTTCAAAGAATACACTACCGCTGTGAAAGAAAAAAAGAACATTTAATGACATACAATTAAAATCTGTAAAACCATTACCTTGAAGTGTGTTTTATATGTGAACTGCAATGTGATATGTTTGTTTGTGTGAGTTTCTTTTCTCGAGGGATATTTTCAATGTGATATGTTTGTGTTTCTTTTTCTCTAGGGATATTTTCAATGTGATATGTTTGTGTTTCTTTTTCTCGTGGGATATTTTCAATGTGATATGTTTGTGTTTCTTTTTCTCGTGGGATATTTTCAATGTAATATATTTGTTTGTGTGAGTGTTTCTTTTTCTCGAGGGATATTTTCAATGTAAATATTTGTTTGTGTGAGTGTTTCTTTTTCTCGAGGGATATTTTCAATGTAACATATTTGTTTGTGTGAGTGTTTCTTTTTCTCGAGGGATATTTTCAATGTAACATTTGTTTGTGTGAGTGTTTCTATTTCTCGAGGGATATTTTCAATGTGATATGTGTTTGTGTGTGTGTGTTTCTTTTTCTCGAGGGATATTTTCAATGTGATATGTTTGTTTGTGTGAGTGTTTCTTTTTCTCGAGGGATATTTTCAATGTGATATGTTTGTTTGTGTGAGTGTTTCTTTTTCTCGAGGGATATTTTCAATGTGATATGTTTGTGTGTGTTTCTTTTTCTCGAGGGATATTTTCAATGTGATATGTTTGTGTGTGTTTCTTTTTCTCGAGGGATATTTTCAATGTGATATGTTTGTTT